TTCTGGATGTAGAGAATCTCATAGCACAGAAACAGCACTCATAAAGGCGTATTTATACTTCTGCATTAAGCACACAAGTATGCTTCAGCACAACCTGTGCATGGTCACATAGCCCTTGCTGTGGCAGTCAGACACTGATGCACACCTCAATGAATAGAGCAAGCTGTGATTGGTCAGCTTTGTAGAGCTGACAAGTGCCCTAAACTAGTCCTCATCTTCAGTCAGTAATTTGGGGGCTATTTCTGACAGCAACCTGTGTAAGGCCAGATTAAGCATCTGTAAAACTCAATTTCTTCATCTTAAGGTTGCCAAACTTTGACGAGCGATCAATAATTGATGCAGAAAAGCTTATTCATGCTTTCATTACCTCTCGGTTAGACTACTGTAATGAGTTACTATAGGTGGATGCCCTGCTGGCCTCACTAACAAACTGCAGCTGGTTCAAAATGCAGCTGCTAGAGTGCTTTCTAGAACTAAGAAATCACATTACTCTTGTTCTTTCATCAGTGCAATGACTCCCTATTAAATATTTAATTTACAATGTTAGTGTTTACCTACAAACCCCTCAATGCCTTAGCTGCCCAGTATTTGAGGGAGCTCCTGGTGTATTATAGAGCGCATGAGTGATTCCTTTAAGACCCTATAGTGACCCACAGGTCCATGTATTGATTCTGAAGGGTCAGTCTGTACACCAGCCAGTGACCTCTCCCATCTACAGCTTCTCCACAATGGATGTCCACCATTCTCCAGCCTCCGGTGCCTAGACTGCAGCTCTGTACAGGAAGTTTGGCCAGAGGAGAAATGATCATGCCCAACTGAACCTGATTTGAGGTTAATTTTTCCCCCTTTACTTTGGTCGGTTGGCAAACTGGCTCGCTTGGTTTGGGGCTTGTGTAGTTGAGCATGGATGGATTTTCTTCATTGTTTGGACTTTCAGCAGTGAAAATTAAACACCGAAATTAATCTCTGAAAACTGAGCTGATTTAAACCTCTCATACCTGATGTGAAACGAAGCATGCACATCCTCAAAGATCCTTAGCCCGAACAGTTATAATAGATAGAAGTTTATATGAATGTTCAAGAAAATGAAGCAGATAAGGGAGATTCCACTGAAGGAAGAATTCATTTATGCAATGAGTGAATAGGTCATTGAGAGATTTCCAAGGTAAGCCACATGCCCGGAGCACTGAGCTGTCCAAAGAGCTGATTTAATGTGAATAAACCTAAAAAGAGCAGCTGCCAGGCAAATTATATCGAGTTAAGGTTCTGGACAGATTTTAAACAAGTCATCAGAAATATCTCTTAAAGGATTAACTTTATTATGAGACCACTGCAAATGACATGGAGTACTGTCTGACAAATACATTTTGGAAATAGATGTACGGTCTATGCCATTGTGCAGTTATGAACGTCTACAATCACGCTATGTGGAGAGAATAAAAAAAAAATATTCACAATAGAACCAAACTGATTTTCATTGTTTAAGTGAGAGCCTTAAAGTGAGGGCTTTTGTTTTTGAAAGGATTCTCACTACCAAAAGGAATTCTTGATACTTGAGATGTTTCCATTTAAATTTGAGATTTGAAGAGGAAACTGGAAACGGTAAAGTTGAAATATTTATAGGTGAAGAGGTTCCAATATTCCCATGAAATTGAGATTGCAAGAGTGAAGTGTGGTTACTTTCACTGAGAGGTTCTGGGGTTAGATGTTCTAGGAGTTACAGAAGATCCTATTTTGAAACCAGTCTAGTACACTACAGATGTTCTGGAGAAGGCATGTAGGGTTTTATTATGAAAAGTTCTGGGTTCAAAGTTTTAGAAGAATAAACATTTTAAATCTTCCCATGAAAATAATGGATCTTAAAGAAAGGGAAAATCTGGTCAATTCTGAAAAGTTGTAAGGTTATAATTTGAGATTTGGTGTTTTAAAGCATCCCTATGGAAGTACTAGTCTTACTCCTTAACCTTAATCCTAGTAAATTCTGGGGTAACAAATCTTCAGTAGTTCTCATGTTTGAATTGATGATTTTTTGAAAGTTCTCGAATGACTGGTGTAGGTGGTGTTGATGCACAATGTGCTGTTGTGTGGAGGTGCTAATCACCAGTAGAAGACTGGGCTTCATTTAAGGCCTGTTCACCCCCGGCCACCTGCCCTGCGTGCTGTCCAAGTGGACCCAGGGAGGCTGAATACTTACCACTCCCCCAAGTGACCTTTTGTTAACACCGCAAGGTTGCCCAGGCCACCCGAGAAGAGTCTGAAGAGGTTTCTCTATGAGGCCTACTCTGGCTAATCCAGAGACCAGGCTCCCCAGGACCCCAGATATCTCCAGGGAACAGGAGAGCCCTTGCCCAAATCAGCTGAATCTAACAGGTAGATTCAGGAGTAAAAGTTGGCAGTGAACTGGTCATTGCCTTCTCCTCACTCCCTGCTGATTTGCTCCAGAATACTTCCAGTCAACATTCAAGGAGTTATATAAATCCAATGTGACCAAAGAACTCACTCATATGTGACTAGAAGTATTCAAAGAGATAATCCTGACCTCCCACTATTTACTAAAGTTGAAAAAAATCAAGAGGTCAGGTCGAGGCTCAGTCTGGCGGATATATCTTTATAGATATATCATTCTTCTACCAGACCCTTCCCCTAAGGCAATGCAAGAACCAAGCAGACATTATCCTTATCAGGGATAACCGTTGGGAGCATTACCCTGAGGAACAGGAGATCCTGATCCATTGACCAGGTGTTGAGACACAGCATTTCGGCAATGGTGATGACCATTTGTTTGTTTGTGTTTTTCTTTGTTCTTGTTTGTATATTTTTATTCAGAATTTGATTATCTGATGTCTAAGTTGTTTTCCCATACTTTGATTATCATATTTAAGCTTATGAAGCCCTTTAAAATCGTGTTTTATTAGAGAATACACCATATGCAAATGACTCATTAGTATTCGTGTTTTTAGACCAATCCTGTGTGTCCTCAGCTGAGTGTGCTTTCGGTCAGGTTTAATCCTTTATATCTCGGCCGTTTTTTAATGTTTTGGTTTAATTTTTTCTGCATTTTAGTCAGTTTATTGTGTAGAATAAGTGTTGAGCAAATAAACTGTCATTACTGATCAAAAATATTTTTGTGGGGTTACCGTTTATGAGAAGTACAGCTGATTTAGTGTGGTAATTTACAATCGGTGTATGCAGATTAATACCTCCTTTCAAGCAAACTGATTTATCCAGTAAATTGGAGATGATGCTAAAGTGGTATTGTCTATGAAATTAATATCACACAAACATTTAATCACCTAGTGGCTTTGCAAAGAAATTAATATATCATGTGTCCAATGTTTTGGAGAGGTTTGATTCTTCCTTAACTGGGGGAGATATCACAATATTCATCAGCCATGTGAACATAATAATGCTATTTAGTAAAAATAAATAAATAAAAGCCTTCATTTGGTCTCTTCCATTTCCCTTGATGCATCATAGCGCAGTTACAAAACGCCACTCCTGATGTTGCTCTGGTTTCTCCACTGCTTCCAGAAACTGCTCAAATGATCCTAAAGCAGACATGTTGACTGATTTGAGTGAGTTCAAACACACTGGAGCCAGACAAAGACTCTTTATTATCTTTTCTATCATGTTTGGCTCTGTATATAGCAGGACTGCACATTTTAAATGCTTTATGTGGTGAAATTAAATGAGTAAATGCACAGAAAATGTCATGGCCATTAAACAGAACATTATACATCTACATATTGTGCATGTAGCAGGCCAGATTAACCTGAAAATATCAATGTTTAAGCATTTGATAAACATCACTACAATAAGGCTAAAGACTATAAAAGTTTAAATTATTCACGATCACGAACACATGGTGGTTAATCTACAGTGCTTTTCTCGTAATTTCAATGAAATAATTCATCAGGCGACAGCGGCCATTATGCTTAATGTACGTGAAGGACAAAGCTTATCTTACTTTATCCGTCAGTCGTCACTTCACTTGAATGTTGTGGCAAGTTAGTTGACACAGAGTAAAATAGTTTGGACATAATGACCTTTTTAATTCCGTAACGAAGCTCAAAACATCCCGCGTCTGTAAAGTCTCCAGCTTAGGACTACAGGCACCAGCGTCCGTTCATTTATAGTTTAAAAATGACACGCTAACACTCAGTTAACCACAAACAGCCTGACAAATGCACCTCAGACAGTGTTATGTGGTGAACACTTTCAAATGACATACAGTGATCATACGCATACAATCACATAACTGACCTAATTTCACATCAACACTTACCGAATGCGTTGGATGAGCGGTAAAACGTGCGCAGGCCTCATGACGGTGCTGTTTACAAACGAGTCTGCTCGGCTCTGTGAATCAGTTTGTGAATAGTAAGATTTGGATACTGGTAGAAAACAATTAATTTTTAAAATAAAAATGTAAAACACAACTGTTTAACATTTTCTTATTCTGCTCGACCACACGCACTGTCATTCAGGAATTGAATGTTGATGCTCGCTGATGAGCTTGACGTGTGTGTGATGATGTTTTGTTTATACTTGAGTGTCGAAATGTTACATGACATGAACTTAAACGCATGTAGGAATGTCTGCAAGCGTAGTCCACGTCTTAATCTGATTTCTGCTTAGATCCGTTATGACTTTAGTTGGATTAAGGTAGTCAAAAATCCCTGTTTACATGGTGGACTCTTATCCAGAGTATTGTCTTAATCGTATCAAAATCGGAGTATTGGTGTCCATGTACACGGACTCTGACAACATTATCAGACCATTGTTCCACTGGAAAAATGAGACATTTGTCATTATCAGATTAAACTGACGCTGTTAAACATTGAGTTTTACGCTCAACACCGTTCGCTAGGAAAGAAAAAGTGTATCAAATGCTTGTCGTAATCATAACTGTAAAGTGCCTTATGATCATTTAAATAATGTGCGCTTTCAGTTTCTCTTTCACTGCCGTCACTTGGAGAAAAACAAACATACATGCAAAACACACTTCTGTACATAACCGAAGGCTATTTACAACTTTATTAGCTGTGCATCTGAGCCTATGCAGGATCTGTTCACTAAAGTAGTAATTATTCAGCTCACGTGTGATTACGCAAGCGCGAATAGGACATTACATGAAGACAGAAATAACATTTTTGGGTGAATTATACCTTATAAATACAGTACTTCCCGAAACTCTTGCCGCACTCGGGGCAGTCGTGCTTCTCTTCAGTGTGAGTTCTGGTGTGGACTTGAAGCGTTCGTAGTTGTCTGAAACTCTTCCCACACTCGTCACATGTGAAGGGCTTCTCTCGAGAATGCTCACGCTTGTGTTCGCTGAGATTCCTCTGTGTGCTGAAGCTCTTGGAGCACTGCTGGCAGGAGTACGGCTTCTCTCCTGTGTGTGTCCTCATGTGGATCTCCAGCTTTCCTTTAGCACCAACACTCTTCCCACAGTGAGCGCAGGTAAAAGGCTTCTCTCTGTGGATCTTCATGTGGACTTTAAGTTTTCTCTCTGTGTTGAAACTCTTCCCGCATTGCTGGCAGATGAACAGGCTCCTGGTTTCAGTCTTGTAGACTCTCTGTTGTGAAGTCTGTGAGTATTTGTCCTCGGTAATAACCTCTTGATGCGTCTCATTCTGATCTTTATCTTCATTCTCTTCTTTCAGCCCCGTCAAGTCTACATCAATAACAGACAGACATGTGTTAACCCCAGGCCGCGTCTGAAACCGCAGACTTTAACAATGTATTTTAGACATTTCACTTGTTTCAGTGTTTAATTAATTAGTTTAGTAAACCGAGATGCTGTGTGTCTGAGCAAGATGTGTGAGTTTAACACATGAATCCTCCGTCTATTAGCACTGAACAGCAGGATCAGCTGGAGAATCTGGTCTCGGAGAGAAGGAAACACATGCAGGTGTACTGAAGCACAGGTAAAGAAACTGATGTCCAATACTAAATCCCTCATCTATTCTGTGCTGTTTACAGTAATATTGCGCTTATCTAACTGATGAAGAGGTGTTCCTGTGAAGACAGAAATGAGAATTTAGCATTTCCTGTAGTGATGTTCTGTGTTGGGCCTGTAATCTTTAGCTTTTAAAAGTGTTTTATAGTTTATTATTATTCATTTCATATTTCTACATTCTTAATCAAACATTTGTCAAAATAAAAGCATGAAAATAATCACATAAACAAGCACTGTTGACATTATTTTAAGATTTATAAAGGAAAAAAGTGCTAAATGTGCTTACATGTGGTCAACACACACTATATATATATATATTTATAGTTGAAGTCTGAATTATTAGCCCCTTCTATATTTCTATATTTTTCCCCAATTTCTACTTATCGGAGAGCAGATTTCATCAGCACATTTCTGCTCAGAACAGTGTGAATAACTCATCTCTAATAGCTGATATGTTTCCTCTTCTCCATGATGACAGTAAATAATATTAGACTAGATATTCTTCAAGACACTAGTGTTCAGCTTAAAATAAAACCACTGGAGCTCCAGCAATAGATGACTATTTAACAGACCTAAACACCATTCTCAACAGATGTATTCAATCTCTGTCAAAGCTCAGAAACACACAGACGTCAACAATTAGTCTTTCAATCTCAACAATGGTGACGAGGAAAAAATAAAAATCAACCCAGAACAACACAAAACACTACTGAATTATTACACCCCAAAAACAACATCAAATAAAGGCAGAGAAGGAAACTGTAAGAACTTTAAGCTGCATAGTTTACTCATGCTGCAGTGCATGCTGGGAGTTTTGTACTATGTACCCAGCATGCATTGCGAAATAAATGACTTGTGCAGCTTTTTACTTTTAGCAACCATAGTTGAGGTTCATATCCTGACTCTTGATGTCTGTGTGTCTTACTGTGCTGCTGGAGCGCTCAAGGTTTTGTGTATAAAAATCTAATTATTAATTTTTATGAATTCCTGCTTGTTGCTCCTCCACAGGAAGCTGTAGTACTGTCCCAAACGACATCACGTAAGCCTGCAATATTTTTACTTAATTCATGGAATTCTTCCAGTTATTTCTATAACAAGTAAATATATAAAGCTGCTCATCACCTTTCCTGCTTTAGCCAATGAGTTTCAGAAACACTGAGACAGAAGAGTACAGGATCACGAGCTCCACTAAAGCAGCCGCTGATCTCCATGATGGTGAGGGCAAATTAAACATTTTCAATAAAAAATATCAAAACTCTGTTAATGATCAAATATTTGTAAAAGTCAAACTGTGATCAGTGAAGCTGCTAATGCTGTTTGTGGAGGTGTTTAATCCTGTGTTATTCAGCTGGTTTGCTGTAGTGCTGCTGTGTGTGTTTGTCTTGTTCTCTCAGTGATTGAGCTGATCTACTGCAGCTGTTCATCGGTGTCTGCATTCAGTCAGAACTGTGCTCATCCACACTGTCTAGTGCACTGAACTAATCAGCTGATTTAGGGACTAGTGAATGTGAAGGTGAGATTTCAGACACTCTGATTACTGTCTGGAAAATAAAGGTTAGATCTGATGCAGTATTGTGTGTGTTTTGTACAGAAATGACCTGTTCATGTTTTACAGTGAACTTTCAAATCAAATTTGTAGCATTTAAATGTTGAAAATCCTTTACTAAATGCTGACTGAATAATAACAAACACCACACTTTCAAACTCCTAAACTGATGTGGAAGGAAGGTTTTATGTTTATTATATTAAGGAGTTTAATGTGTATAGCCGTACAGCCATGGTGCAAGAACAGAGAAGTTTGAGATCTGAAAAGCGTACACAGCACCTAACACTGGGCATAAACATAAGCCAGAGCAAGTCTTCTCGCTTGGTCCACCTTTAGATGATCCAATAGGATGTGGTATTTATACGTCTCTGACTCTCCTGGATCCAACAAGTTGGATTGGGCTATCTTTAACATCAAATACTGACTTTCATCTTCTCTAGTGAGATCAGGGACAGAAGGACCTTCTACCCTCCTATAGTTTGCCGGGGGGGCAGCTGGAGGAACTAGCGGACTTATAGGGGGTGCAAATGTCAGATGGTGAGGCTGCACATCACTTGTTGGCTGATATTAAAACAGCACACACAAATTGTTACACAAGTCTATTTAAAGTTTTTAGACGTTATACGTGAAAACAGTGCTTTATCCATGTCATGGACAGTGGTTATGGTTAACATCTTCCTCTGCCTTTGGGTGCTACCGCAGGTGCCTTACAACATCTTACAAACACACATTCCAGCACTTCAGAGTCACTCTGCTGGCAATCAAAGATGTATGTCAATTCACCAAGCTGAACCCATTCTGTACTGTACAGGAGACACGGCACGGAGGAGACTGACTGACAGTGGTCTACAGCCAATCAGGATGCAGAACGCAATTAGAAAAATCAGAGAAACTGCAAGGCTGTATTCAGATCTGTGTTCAGGAGTGTGTGTGTGTGTGTGTGTGTGTGTGTGTGTGTGTGTTTTCTCACCACTGAGTCGTGTGATGGTCCAGTTCCTCCTGATGTCTGCGGGCTCTGAAGGCAGCTGAAAGGCGAAGGGTCCGGCGTTGGGGTCTGTGTCTGCGTCCAGCGCTGTGATGTTGATGCTGTTCTCTGAATTCTCACACATCTCGGCCTCTGGAGGGAAAACCTGAGGAGCGTTATCATTCACATCCAGCAGGAGGATCTGCAGAGTGCCGGTGCTGCTGGCCGGAGGAGTGCCTGAACGCACACACGCACACACACACAACGGTCAACAGTGTGTTTGAGGGAGCATTTAAACTACTAGAACCAGTGAATCTTTGCCTAATGAACTGAATCTGAGCAATCAAACTACTTGAACTGAGTGAATCATTGAACTGTTTGAATCTGTAAGCAACTGAACTAATAGAACAGAAGGAATCATTTACTGTTTAAAGATCTGAATTGATTTGCATGGCTTAGTAAACTATGAGCGAGCACCAGCTTTCATTGACATCAGATCATGTGTGAGTCACTGATGCTTCCGCACAGGCTGTCATGCAGTCTCAGGATTTACCTGACATCAGATCAACTTCATGGATTTGTGAAGGATCTTGTAAGGCATTTGTGCATGTGAAATGTAGAAGTTAAATATCCAAATTAAAACAGAAAAATTCAGTGTATCATGTTAGTCTGTAGTCTATGTGCAATTGACTGGTTATTCTTGAGTGTCTGCGAGAGTGCTTGTTAATGCATTTGCTCATGGATGATAGTTCAGTATGCAGGTTTCAGACGGTTTAATACCAATTCAGTTTATAAAGCATTTGGTGGATCAATAGACTCAGCGCTTTGGAGAGTTTAGTTTCCTCCATCATCAGGATAATCAGGTCATGAATAATGTCATTTAACACAGATGTCTGACCTGCAGTTCCTCCTCCAGAGCATCTTCAGTCTCCTGCCTCCAGCTCACACCGACCATCAGCAGCTCCAGCCTGTGCTTACATAGTGGAAGTACATGCACCTTACACATACACACATCTTAGGAATGAAATAAAGCACAGTAACGTATGTATATACACACAGAGCTCAGTTTAAATGAGTACATGCTCACAGACCTCTCTCTTAATATAATATTTGTATGTGTACATTAGATTAGTCAAATCTGGGGCTAATCTAACAAAATAACTTATGATTCCAGCCCAAAAGGTAGTACAGCCAATTGTATATGTTGGGGAAAATAATAAATAAAACATTTTTAGGAAAAATTAAGAGAATCAAACATATTTACAGTTTAGAGGAAGTTTTGTAGTTTTGAATTAATTATTTGCAATATTTCTTTTGAATTTCAGTGTGTCGTCTTTATTTCTAGAGGAACATCTGAATGAATATAACTGTTTGATAGATCAGTCTAGTTCAGATGCACCACAATATTCACTAATATAAATATTCAGAAATGGAGAAAGATATTTTCAGAAGGCCGTGTCCTCGTTTATGCGGAGCACTATATGTGCTGAATACTTTAGTGAGGTGTGTAAATAAAATATTAATAGTA